AAGACAGCGACCACGAAAAAGGCCACACCATCTTGGTATTCATACTTTCGATTAAAAAAATATTGTTGGAGAATCTTTCATTTGGTATGAAAGTTCATAAAGAAGTGATTATATCTCACCAGAAGACGACGGCTGATTCCCTTTGTACTTCAGCCATTTGGCTTTAATACGACGTTCAGATTGACGCAATCCATGAGACATCTTCCTCAGTTTCATATAAAACCAGACCGAGCTTTCGTCCAGCACATGATGGATACCATCATATCTGCAAATCATTCTTGTAAAATTCTCACATTAACACTATGTCAGGAAGATTGTCAGCCTCTGTTTTAACTTTTAGACATACTGATAGCTAAAAGCGAAAATGTATAGACATCGATATATCTCGAATGATTTAGCTACTTCCCTTAAATAATGGTCATGATTATTTTACTTGAATGGGTCTACATATGTGTGTTTGTGTGTTAACATTTATACGCAATACCGATCCTTAATCAGAATGATTAAGAAGGCTTAATGACAGGCTATAAACCCGACAGTTACTTTACGTTTCTAAAGTATATTGTTAAAACCTATTCATATATTGTGATTTATTTATAAATGTGTCCCTGTTTCAATAGGAGTCAAAGATTCTTACACTAGAAAACGAGATTCGCTTGCTTGAGGATGAAATCACACGGCTGCATGAAGATGATCTAATTACACCGGCCACATCCACAAGCAGCGGAATCGAGGACTTTGATAAAACTCTACAAGCTCTTAGAAGCAACGAACGTCTTCTAAAGTCAAAAGTGAGCCTTTCATTTATGTATGTGTCTTAATAGGTTAGATTCACTGTATTTTAATATATTTATTATAGGATATCTCTTATATTAATGCACGTTTTCGTCTTATTCCGAATGAAGGAAATTTGATTACCAATCAGGTTCTAGCTAGTACTGTAGTTACGGTTCACGTGCAATACTTTGTACGTTAAAAGTATTCTGCAAGTGCTATATTAATTGTGACTATACATGGGAAGGTACTCCAGATTGGTTCGATGAACCGTGACGGGTTTCATTTTATATTCTTGGTCAAGGGTAGAAATAGTTTATTAATGAATTTTCTATTTATAATAGGTTTTTATGGTGGGTTTACATCTTTTTTGTAAAAGTTATAATATTTGATGTATCTTGATATAAGAATCGTTCAAAAAGCTCTAAGCTTTAGCTATAACTATATTTTACCTAGCTGAACCATCTAAGAATATGT